TTATTCCCAGGCGTGACCTGGTGGCCCAGTCACTAAGACACTGATCTTGTTGATCAGAAAGATTGGCAGTTTGGTGGTTCAAATCCCTACTGCCATGTAACGGAGTGAGCTCCTGTTACTTGTACCAACTTCTCCTAGCAGCTTGAAAGCACAAGTACTTGTTAAAAATACAAGTAGAAAAAATAGGGACCACCTTTGGTGGCAAGGTAACAGCATTCTGTATGCCTTTGGTGTTTAGTCATGCCAGCCACATGACCATGGAGATGTCTTCAGACAGTGCTGGCTCTTCGGCTTTGAAACAGAGATGAGCAGAGTTGGGATTGACTAGCACATATGTGTGAGGGGAACCTTTACCTTTACTTATTTCCAAATATTATCCTGAAATATTATATTTAAGAAGCTAAAGCAAGTAGCAAACTGAAGGCAATATATACATTCTTGTGGGCCAAAATCTGTTTCCTTACAAGAACTCCTCCTTACAAGAACATCTATTTGTTAATTTAAAATGGCCATAATATTTTTTCGTATATGTTGCAATGCACATAACTAACCTTATGTAAAATTCTTAATGCAAGCTATTTAGAGAGCAATACCTACAGCCATCCCTTTTGCTCTGTTGAGTAGTTAAATCTTTCTAAATTGTAATTATTACTTTCATGTTCCTTTAGCTTTGTTCCATTTTACAGGGTCATTTCATCATTCAAAGGTCTTTGATTCTTAAATCTACTCTCTTGTTATTCTGTCAGAGACAGTCACTGCAGTGCCAGCTCCAGCCCATTTATTTCAGGCAATGAGCTTGGAGTCTCCAATGCTAATTTTATTGCTATTATAGGGCTATATTACCAAAAAAAGGAGGGGGGGAATCACATTTTGTTAATTATTTAAAGATCAGTCACGTAAATCAGTCATTGCTTTATTATCAACTTTCAAGCCATTTATTACACACTTATAAATATATAGATGTGCAAGTGTGAATTAGAGCAAACTAAGAGTTTCTAATGCTGTATAATTAACTATGAATTACCAGTTATTTTTCCACTGTTTATTTACGTGTATAGAGCTTTATCTTTTAAGTATTTTAAAATATTTTAAGTGTTATGGAGTGATTATGTAAGTACAATTTGTTTACATTTCATTAAGAAAACATTCGCAAAAACATTCCTTCAATTCCATATGCATAAGTACAGAATGGAAAAATGTGGAAAGATTTTCAAATTGTGGAGAGTAGCAATTCTTTTTTAAAAAGGAATTTAAATAATATTGTTTGAATGAATGCTTTTTTTGTCTATAGCTGTATAGTGTAAAATAGTTGAATTTCTTACAGGCAGCTAATGCCAATGAATATTTTGGAAGACAGAATTCACAAATAAAAATGTATGCATAGATAAGGCATATATTATAATTCTGAACACATTTAAATGGGCCCATTCTAATCTAGAAGTGCCTGTTTTCTTTGACCACATGTTAATGCAAAGACTGTAAATAATGTAATTCTAGATTGACCTGAGGAAACCCACAAGTTGTGGACAGTGCCCTCCTATAAATATTTTGTCAAACTCTCAAGTCTGTCATTATAATTGTGTTCATTTTTTTTTTGCCCTTGTCTTGATTTGTTTGCTTGATTTTTTTTAGGCTATAGTCATTTCTATAATAGTCCAGTGTTGACAGATGGGTTAAGGTTCAGCATTTGTCTCAAAGATAACTACAAATTCTGAAGCATAGAAGCTACAATAGCCAACCTTTGAAGTTTTTTTAATAGCAGTGTGGCCTTCCAAATAAATAAAATATAAGTCCTAATTACACTGGTTGAGGTTGAAGGGAATTGGAGCTTAGCAGTACCTACAGATCTACAAATTTCAGAGGCACCACATTAGAATGTAGAATTTAATAAATTTATATGCCGCTCAATCCCATAGGACTCCGGGCGGCTTACAAAAACAAGATAAAAGATAAGAGTTAAAAATAGAAAGAGAAACAAATTTAAAAACAACACACCATACATTCAGTCTAGGTGGGGCTGGACCTCATTCATGAAGTCAACAGCCCCAGGCCTGCCAGAATAGCCAGATTTTAGTGGCTTTTCGGAAGGCCAAGTGAGTGGGAAGGGTCCGGATCTCTACGGGTAGATCGTTCCACAGAGCCGGAGCAGCTACAGAGAAGACCCTCCCCCAAGGGGCAACCAGCTGGCATTGTCCGGTCGACGGCACCCGGAGAAGGCCCAACCTGTGAGATCTTATCGGCCGTTGGGAGGTATGTGGCAGGAGGCGGTCTCTCAGATATCTGCTTAATTCTCACTATCTTGGAAAACATATCTTCAGGTTAAATGTCTGTTAAGATTCTCAGTCATCCAGGTCATAGTTGTCTCAAAAGCACCTTTTCAAAAGACAACTGGACTTTTTCCCTTGAAGTGGAAGAAGAAAATGTTTCACCATCAGAACTGATCGAGCTTTTTGGATGAGAAGCAAAATGTTTTCTTCTTCCTCAAAGACAAAAACAGCCCAGTTGCTTTTTTAAAAGACATCCTTGAGATATCTTCAGATTCCATCACACTGATGTTGAAGCATACGAGTTAAGAGTTCCATCTATGGAACCAAAATTTGTGAAAAGCTGACATCCTACAATAGCCATTGTGGTCCCAGTGGACCATCATGGATTAGCTTTTCTAAAAGATTTTAAAATGATGTTTTGATAAAACCTATGGAATATTTAAATGGCAGATTTCATCCCAGGAAAGACTTTAGACCTGTGGAGACCTTTTATTGTTTAAGAAGAAGAAAAGAAAGAAAGGTTGACAGGAAGGCACCGTTCCATATCACCTCAAAAATTCAAAACAGACCTTGAAAGAGAGATAGTTTCTAGTCATTTTATCCATAAAGAGCTGGTTTGGTATGTGTGAACAAAGTTTTTTTAAAGGACCATTAAAAGGAAAGAGAACCAGTACACCTTGTGAACCTACAACCTCAGACGTTTTGAAAAGCCACACTGTGAACTAAGCCTATACAATGATGAAATATGAAATTGCACTGATACATCAAAGACCGTTGCTGACCTTTTTGAAATATTTTTTCTCCAGTTTGTAACTGAATGCCTCTCTGTGAATAAAAAATTGTTTTTTAAAAATAAAAATAAAATGAGGAATTTTTTTTTCAAGCATTGCAGCATTGAGGACAATATTATTCTTTTTTTTTTTAAGGTTTCAAATGAAACTGAACTTGACATATTGGTGAATGGGGTCTCATGTATGTATGTATGTATGTATGTATGTATGTACGTACATACGTATGTATGTATGTATGTATGTAAATAATAAATAAATAATAATCTGAAAATCACTAAGGTAAGGTGCTTTAAATTTGACATGCAGATTCACATCAAAGAATACATAATTTCTGTGAAATATGAGAGATTGACTGACTTTTACATCAGTGTTACAATTGTTGTTATTTCTTTTCCTCTTCCTGTTCCTTCTCCCCTCATAAAATATAATCTATGAATGACATAGATTGGCTCAGTGGACAATTATTTATTTATATCTTACCTATTATGTTTAAAAATAATTGAAGGTAATGAACACCCACAATACTCCTTCCTCTTCCTATTTTCTCCATAATAAC